GGTTTGATTCTGAATCAGGGCACATGCCTGGGATGTGGGCTCAATCCCCAGCAGGGGGCATACAGAAAGCAGCTGATCAATGTTTCTCTATTTGTTGCTAGTTGGGGTGGATTTCTTGCAATATCTTGAGACTTGCAAGGGAAAATGAGTGAGTTTTATGTCTGTGGAATTACACCCCTGGGTTTCCAAAGTCCAATTGGCCTTTGGCCAGGCATAGAAGAAATGTAGCTGGGGCTTTGGCAGAGGTAAAATAAAAGCCAGTGTCCAGAGTTTCCATTCCATATTGGAGCAGGATCCAGTACAACATCAGCCTAGCTGTAGTTCATCAATCCATTGTGTACCACATGGGTGAATGCAAGGAAGCCAAGAGTCACAAGCTAAGTGTGCCAAGAGCAAAAAGAGAGAGAGAACTCCTTCATTTAGGAGGTTATGTATTCCCAAAGTTTCATGCACTTGCAGTGGTGATGCCCATCTGGTCAACCATCTCTGTCCCCAATTGTGATTGATAGACAAGTCCCTTCCCTATGACTCCTCAGCTTCACTGGGCATGCATCTATCTTATCTTGTTCAGTCCTCCTCCCCCAGTGTTTTGCAGGGAATAGAGTGGTGGGTCCTGGGGAGTGTAAAGTTGCAGCTTTCTGGTGGAACTGCCCAAATGACATGCCTATAATATCTGGCCATCCCTTTGCTCCTTTCTTATCTATACTAATAAAAGGGTAATATGCTAACTAGACAGGACATCTTCTGGACATCCTTCAGTACAAAGCGACGGTGGTGGGGGCTCAGCAGAGGCATTAGGGGCAATCAGGGCTGCAGGGGAGAGCAGTTAGCGATCAGGCTGGCAGGGGAGGGCAGTTAGGGGGCGATCAGGTCATCAGGGGAGTAGTTAGGGGGCGTACAGGCTGCAGGCGAGCAGTTATGGGGAGATCAGGCTGGCAGGCAGAGGTGGTCCAGAGTGATCAGGGCAGCAGGCAGAGGAGGGTATGGGCAATCAGGCAGGCAGTGGAG